CACCCCCCTCCTGAATAAGATCTTGAATGAGGGGGGCCTTATTTACCACGGACCTGGCATTACACAGCATCAGTCGGTGATCCCGGGGCCGGGGATCTAAGATCCCTGGGGGTCGAGTTGAGTCCTGAGGACCGGAGCACCCACAAGCTTGTAAGCAGCGTGTGCGTGCTCACACAAACCCAGCTGTTTTTTTAGTTATTGAGATTACTTGTAAAAGCCCTGAAAATGAGATCAATAACAGTATTCTAAAACAACTATAGCAAAGTGACAATGAAGTTAGAAGAAGAGTACATTAGTCAAGATTGCTATGGATAGATTTGTCATTTTCTATGGGAATTCAGATTCAGAAGGTGCCATAAATTTCAATTTCCCACATGAAAATTGCCAGACTGAAGTGCAGTAAATCTGTGTAATAATGTTTTTTAACTGACCTATAAAATCGGAGTTAACTTATTGGGCTTAATTAATGAGTTGTAGGTTTTGTTCTCTACCAAAAAGCTGAGCTTTATAAAGAAATACTTTCACAAAAAAAGAACACTGAAGTATGTTATTCTTTGAGCCCTATTATTATTTTACTTTTTTGTGTTTGTGTGTCTCTCTCTGTGTGTATGCCATTGAGTCAATGGTGACTGTCTGGATTAGTCCCTGCAGTTTTCTTGGCAAGATTTCCGAAGTGGTTTGCCCTTGTTGGCTTCCTGGGGCTGAGAGAGAATGACTGGCCCAAGCCACACCCACCCCCCCGCTGGCTTCGCTGTCTAAAGCAACTACAACTTAAGATCTCCTGGTTTCTAACCTGATACTTTAACTACTATACTAAACTGACTCTTAATATTGTTTTACCTATGGTCTTAGTACTTTTATTTTGATTTTTTGTTTTTAATCTGTCTACTTGCAAATAGTTTTCCAAACATATTTGGAAAGCATGTCTGTTCCTCTGCAAAAAGCAACATCTGCTTTGAAGAAGAGGCAGTTTCTCTAGGAGATGGCAGAAGAAAAGGAAAACAAGTGAAAAAAAATCTCTCATTCTATTGACAGATGTCTTCTGTCAACAGAACAGCATCTATTGGATAATTCATTTGTCATTATCAAATTTATAATACACTGCAATTGTGATAATAGTAGTTTCCTCCAATATAAAGAGCTTGAAGATGGTCATATGGTATCAGAACTTATTAAATACTCAGTTTGAACAATCCAATCCTTGTCTAAATGTGTATGTATCTCTCCCCCCCATACACACACACACATATAGGCAGGATTCATACAAAAGTTAAATATGGAACATACACAAAATACATTAAACATTTATTCAAGTGGCAGATATATTTTTTTCTATCACTTACCCTTGTTCTCTGAACTTCCAAAAAGATTGCTCTTTGAAATGATTTCTCCCATATTGCCAGCTCACTTCCCAGTTCCACGTTGAAATAATGACTCTTGCCATGTCCAACCACAGCACTGAAACAATATGGTCTCTGGTCTTCAAGTTCATAGTCTTGGTGAATACCCAAATATAAATTTGCTTGTAGCCAACAGTCATTATTGAGCCAGAGCTGAAAGATATATTTTTGAAGATATTTCATCTAAAGTAGAATGAGAATAATTTGATTCTGTAGAAATAAGTCATGGATGTTTGAGTGTCAGCCTTCTTGCATCAGAATCATGCTGATATTTCACATTATTAAATTGAGAAATTATAGTGGGTCTCTTGTTCCACAGTTCTTTTCATTTTTTCCAAAGGAGGAATTTCCAGTACTCGGTCCTAATCTACCTATCTGCCTACCAATCACATGCTCAGATTCATAGGAAAACATCATCCATTAACAACTGAAGGGCCTAGATTTCTGCTAAAAGAGAAATACTTCTTGGTGGCTTTCATTCACCTGATTTGCCCTTCTTATTGGAAAATAAAGGAGATTGTTTGTCAGCATCAGAAAGTCATATGTTGACTAGACTGAAGCACATCAGAGTAATAAATACATTCCAATTGTTGTAACATTTTATGCAAAGGAAGACAAAGGGGGTGGAAAAGAATACAATGCAGTCTTCAGACATCTTTCTAGGCCAGGGGTCTTCAAACTTGGCCCTTTTATGACTTGTGGACTTCAACTCCCAGAATTCCTCAGCCAGGCACGCTGGCTGAGGAATTCTGGGAGTTGAAGTCTACAAGTCATAAAAGGGCCAAGTTTGAAGACCCCTGTTCTAAGCAGTTCTACTTTCAACAGCAAAGACAGTTTGAGACACTTATATACATGTATCCAGTGGTGGGATTCAGCCGGTTTGCACCAGTTTGGCAGAACCGATAACTAAGTTTTTGTTGCCCAGGCCCAGAATGGACTTCCGGAAGTGGCATCCACACAGAGAACCGGTTGTCCACATATTTGAATCCCACCACTGCATGTATCCAAGTGATACATTTATAATCAATGTATCTGGTTAGTGGGTTTTGACTCACTTTCATTTTCTGCACACAATACTGAAATTGTAGATTGGGAAGATATGGATTTAAATCTTTACTGGAAAATGAAACAATATATTAATCTTGATGCAACAATATATTCTTGCTCCAGGATATCTACTTTATTTATTTAAAATGGGGAAGGGGAAAATTTAGCCCAAGGGCCACATTAAATATGGGATATAGTACTGAAGTTTTCCTCACCAGAGCCTTTTCTATTTAGCTAGAAAGCAGCAGCTAGAGCAGAAGGAAAACTGAGTACCAACCAAGTTTTTAAAAAACTCTGAATATCCTGTAGAAAATGGAGAAATCTAAACTATGTTTTTATAGTCTTGATGAAGTTTCTCCTTTCAGACTACTACTATTTTTTTAAAGCCTACTAGCAGCATAGAAGGCAATCTTAAAATATTCCCGGATGAGTGCAAAATAGCTTACAATTACTACCACTATGACTATAAAGCAGTTGATTTTAATCTAAGCAAAGACACATTCAACAGAGCTACACTGTCCAATTGAAATTAATGGAGTACAGATGTGATGGAAAGAATGCTAAGTAAAACAAGCAAATCTGTAGGCCATTTCTAAAATGGGATGAAAATAACATGCTGCTAATTCAGATGTGATAAATACTGCTTAATTAGAATTAACATCTAATTTATGATGCTAAAATGACAAATAGCAAGAAAATTAATAACATGAAGATACTGTATATTTACACTCATGCGTGTTGCTGTATGACTGTAACACTGTTAATGTTGTTGCTTGGAGCAAACAAAATCTTCATGCTGCTTGATTTTAATAAAAATATCCACCTAAAATCATGTAAATCAAGCAAGCCAAATTCTTAATTATCAGCTGTAATTACTATTACAGATTACTTTGTTTAAACATGTTCATAATCAGGTAACTGTGGAGCAAAATTGTGTGGAAAATTTATCTTTAATGAGAAAAAAATAGATAGTGGAATCACTTCCACTATCTATCCACTTATCTGAAAAAGCCTAAAATATTAGCTGTCAATAAGAAAAAATAAATTTAGTTCATCTCGGGGTTAGTATATGCATATACACAGAGAGAACTGTTGTTCAGTGCTGAAAAATAATATGTGCCATTTCAAAATGAATAAATAAAACTGAAGTGTTATGAATATTTATGCTATTCACTTCCCATATGGAAAATAATTTCAATATATTAATTGCAAATATCATAAGTGAAATTATATAATGTGATTAAATTAGATCTGAGAGTTCAGTATAATCCATGACCACCATATCATAATTTTTTAGAGAGTGTGTATGTCTCTCTTTGGGCTAATATTGTTCAATCCACATTTCACCAGATCAGATTCTGATAGTGTGTGACTTGGCACTGAGAAAAAGTTAAGTAAGGTGCTTGCCAAGCTGGAGGAGAAATTGTTCATTTTCTATATCCCAGTCTCTCATTTTTCAAATTAGATGCAGTTTATGCTACTTGTAGATGTGAAATGGTTTTGAAAATGAACTCAGACTTGGAACTTTTTACTTGTTATGACAGGACTTTATCCAACTTGAAACACTAGGTTTGATTTCAAAAACCAAGAACAAATCACCTTCCAAATTACTTCAAGCCATATTTTCAGTATTTCCACTTTTTCAGTTTTAAAGTGCCATGCTTTTGGAAACAGGACAGAAAAGAGACTCATTCCTATTTCCAGGCCCCATTTCATGAAGCATACCTATGCTAACTTAAGGCCAAGACCTTAAAAATAATGAAAAAAAAGATTTATGAAAAATTATAAGTAGAGCTGAAATAAATATTACAAGTTGACTAATCTTGATGACCCTTAATGATAAAGATTGTCAGAATGAAGCTTAACAATATGTGATAATGAGCAGAGAACCCCAATAGCAGAGATCTCAGCATGTTCATTTAGACTCAAAACAACTTTCACTATTCACTGGTTTTAAGACACTAGTAAATTAATGATGCAGTGAAGAATCTATTACGGTACTCTGGAAATGAACTACAGTTTCCAACATTCCTCACCACTGACTACATTGGGGGCCACTCAAATTAATAAATTCAGCAAAATTATGTGGCCCTAGGTCATAATTTCTCCCTCATGCTACTCATTGACTAGAATACATTTGGAAAGATATATTTGCAGTGTTGTCTGTTCTACAGATGTATTTTAGCTTCTGTATACATGTTTCTGAATAATACTATACTGTAATATTAAACATTAAGGATCGGAATATGTTCTAATTTGAACATGGGAGGGCTTCAAATTATTATTTTGGGAGAGAGTCATGGGGCAGGGGAAAGAACCATTAGCCATGGAATAGTCATATGAAGGTACTAACAATAAGATATGCCAATTTAATAAAGAAAAATCACCAATGGATTTAGTAGAATAGGTGGCATCAACTGGCTGAGTTAGAAACTGCTTATAGATGGATGCAAGACTAACAGAGATGTCAGCTAGACCAGGGGTCCTCAACCCCCGTCTGTGGACCAGTACCGAGCTGTGGCATGCCAGCAACCAGTCCGTACAAACAAGCAAAGCCCCATCTGTGAGATGCAGGCAGCACACAAAACCACACACCCTCTGGTCCATGGAAAAACTTCTCTCCATGGAACCGGTCCCTGGTGCCCAAAAGGTTGGGGACCTCTGAGCTAGACTAAGTGAAAAAAAATATCTCAGAAAAAAAAGCAATTCAACAACTTTTGTACTGTTGCCTAGAAAGCTGTTTGAATGTATCCATGAAGACACCAAAGTCAACCATACTTGAAGGAGCCTTCACCTCTAACAGTCAATAGCAGAAGAATTATGGGGAGGACAGATTCTCAGAGATTTAGTGCACTGCTATTTCATGACTGGTAGAGAAACGGAGATCATACTATATATTGTTGAACTGTCAATGAGAAATTCCACAGCTAAAGAGCCTCTATAACTGCCTGCAAAGTTGGAGATATTCAGGGTCCACCAGGAATTCAATCAAAAGTTGGTTTGCGGAGGACAGATCAGCTTCTTACTCAGAACAGAAAACAGCTTAAAAGAGTAAATGGAATTTTTGAATTTGTAATGGGGAAACCTTAATCTTTCTTGAAAACCACATTTACCCCAATTTAATTGATTTGCTTTAAGTTTCCTTCATTATCATTTATACTGAAATGTTAACGGAACAGAGGCTAAAGTTGCACACTGACGCTTTTGTATTTCAGTTAATGTATTCATGAAGACTGACAATTCAGTATTCATTTATTAAAATGTCAAATACTGAATGCTGAGCAATTTATTTCGATTTTTTTCACTCACCAAAATAACATCCAGTGTTAGAATTTTCTTTTATTGTGTTGTTATTAACTTTGCCAAAATACATAGGCAGTCAGGAAGCATGAAACAATATGGAAAATTGTGTTTATTTTTAAAAAGAGGTCAACTATATACTAATGGCTTCTGAAGCATTCATGGGGAAGCAGTTTAGAAGAGGAATTGCTAATATTCTGAGTATAAAGTTTAATCTTTCATTTCTCCCTTTATAAATCTAAAATCTATACTAGCAAACAAGTTACAGACTTTTTGTAATTTTTAAGTTTCCAGAAGATTTTCATCTGGCTAAGTGGTTAAAGAAATCCAGAAAAAAATAACAGAATGGAAGAGCAGATGTATTGGTGATATTAACTGTTTTAGTGTTTTAATTTATTTAAAAAGTCTGTCATGCAAGCTAGGTGATATTAGTTGTAGAACTGTATTAGTAAGTTATATTCATCCAAAGAAGAACAAAATAATTGTTGATTTTCCTCCTTTTATCCTGGAATTTTCACAATCATGCTCAATGAAAAGCTTTTGGAAATTCAGTTTGCAATTATTGCATAAATTGGTGGCCTTGATATGGATTTTGTATTACAGTATTTAAATGCTTTACAAAACACTTTATTTGAAATGTTCCAATTCAAAACGCTGTGTTCCAATTTTAAAAGCTGTTCTGGCTTTATCATAAGAACCCTGATATTCCTATGAACTTTCCAGAAATATTTGAACTTTTTTGGGGGGTGTTTTGAGCTTAAAATACTATTTTCATCAGTTTTCACTTTCAATAAGATCAGGAAAAGCAGTTTTGAAATCAAAATGGAGAATTATACATTTAAAGCATTTCAGACTTGAAACATTTTACACATTCCTAATTTTTCCCCATTCCTTATCAGCATGGCATTTCTACATATTACTTTATGAAGTTAATTTAGGTCCAGTGGCAAAAAGATCCTTACTCTAGGTTTGTTTTTAATGGTAACACATTACATATATGCATGATTTGAACAAAATAAGTATCCAAATTAAAATGAAAAGCAGTTATGACCACGTAAATGTAAAATTCAAAGCAATCCATAGATCATGTGATGTTTAAATGATCAATATTATCGCATGGGTTACCAATGAGGCAATTCAGAAAATGTTCTGTCTTTTCTGTTGGAAACTCTACCCTATTTATTCTGATTGGCAACTATTCTGTCAGTTCTTCAGTTTATATGAGACCCTTTTGCCCAGAAATACCATCAACAGTGAGAAATTTTGTATGAAACAGGACTAAAAGGGCAATGTCACTTTTGTATTATACAAAACCACAACAATTTACTGCTAATATTGGCTAAATGTATTCTGACTAAGTTTAATTCAGTAAATAATTAACATAATCTTCTATATTGAATATTTTGTTATTCATAACTTACCTACCTTGTGAATTTTAAATAGAACCTCACAGAGGTTATAGGTTTTTTCAGCTCGTATCCAGTCTAATGTGCTTACCTGTACAGCCAAAAGAAAATGTTATTACAGTTTCATACTTTTTTTTGCTTAACAAAAAATTATCCTGCTATTATATAGGGTTTTTTTTCCATTTCTTTGCAAAATTGTTAATCTTTACATTTTTATACACTAGTTCGCTGAAGGCTGTGCACTAGGTTCTTTCAACAAGAGATGAACATGAAGTTAGAAACTAGTATTTGTAATGTTTTAATAGTTTTTCCTTTTTTAAAAAAAATGGAAAATAGTGGAGATTTTGACTTAGCTAGGAGATTCAAATTCTTTGTGCTTTGTTTATTATTATTTTCAATGACATACTGAGCACTATCTGTACAATCTCAACAATCCTTTTGTACACTCACTGATACTGTATTATATCTCTGTGTAAAATATTCTTTTTCTCCTTTCATTTGTTTGTTCACTTTTTCATTCCTTCTTTTTTTAAAAAAAAAAAAAAAAGATCAAATTAATCTGTAAATTAAAAACAAAACCCTTCCATGTGTATTTTTTTTTTTTAAAAAAGCAGAGAACTTGTGGATATATAATTCCATACATGTTATTTATCCTGAAGTAATACTAATTGTATCCCATCTTTATACAGAAAGAACACAAATATAGAGGTAATTGGAAAATCTGGGCCTTATATATTATTTACGCACATGTCCTATTCTTCTTTTGTGAAACTGTTTCATTTGCCAAGAAAACTTCCAAGTAGAAGTTCCTAAGCTAAGTTAGCTGTGTTTGCTTTAACACCGGGATAGCATTATGCATCCATAGATTATTTTCTGGAAAAACAACAACAGCAAGGGCTAGATTCAGCATATGATGAACTATGTAACTAGCAGAAAATAAGAAGGTATATTTGAGGATACCCTCCATATGCTCATAGTATAGTTACACCCAAACATTTTAATCAATCAAGGCATTGATCAAAAGTTGCCTTCTTTTAATTGTTATAGAGATTTCCAGCACCGCCTCAATATTGTGTCATAGTTTTTATACTAGCTTCATTCCACAAACCCTGAATTTTTGCTGAATGTATGCTGTATTTCTGATAATACCTAAAACCCCACATGGTCGTATTTATTCAGATCTTAATTCAGAGTTCAGTTTCTTTCATCGTGGTTACAACAGCAGAAAGAGAAGTAGTTTCTTTGCTCTGGTACCGCTACCATTAGATTTTTTTAAAAAATACAGAATGAGCCACTATTAAATAACTGAAATCAAAATGCTTTGTATAAACTAATTAGGGGGAAAGTAATAGAATGTCTTCAGTTCCGGAGCATCTGGTGGGGGGGGGTTTGGGTGTGGGTCAGAATGACACACTGGTTTTGCAATATTGTAACACAAGCCGATGAAAGCAAGAAGAGTCTCTGAATGTTATTCCTTCAAGTTGATCTGTTTTTGGCATATTGAACTATAGATTGGTAGAACATATTTTTCACTCTCAGTTTTGGGTGACAGAGTTGTAGTTGACTTATATAAATTTCTTTCTTTATTGCTAGGCTTAACACAATAAAAGATTACCCTAGTGCATTTAGGATCATTTTTATCTGCACGCTCATTTAAAGGTGATTGAGGCAAAAATAAATATTCTAAATAATGGATATTCTAAGTATTGTATAAATAGTACTATAAAAAATGAATGAAATAGTGAAACTTGTGTTAGTTATGTATGGTCAACATTAGTACACCGGTGATGTTTTATAAGCTCTCAAACACTCATAATACAGTGGAGAGAAAGCTAAAAAAGAAATTGACAGTATATGCATTTTCCCCCCCCTGAAGACCAGTGGTGGGATTCAGCCGGTATGTACCACTTCGGCAGAACCGGTAGTTAATTTTTTTGTTGCCCAGGCCCAGAATGGACTTCCGGAAGCGGCATCCACACAGAGAACCGGTTGTTCACATATTTGACTCCCACCATTGCTGAAGACTTTATACTTTTCCAAGTTACAGAATTCTACTCAAGGCACTATGCAATAATGTTTGTGGGTGTGCATTTGTGTGTGTTTCTAGTCAACAAGAAACTAAGAAAATATATGTCTCCAAATCTGAAACTCTAGGGAATAAGCTCTCCTGAATACAATAGGATTTTCAAGTAAGTATGCATATTCAGTAAAGCGATAATTATTCATTTATGATTTCAGAATTATAGTTTATGTGTCCAAATGCAAATACTTTCAGTGTTTCTGACATATAACACTGGTAGAGCTCTAGGAAAATGAAAAAATTCCTTACATCATCTCTCCAAAATGATTTACTAATTATCATATTTTATAATTTTTAAGATATTCTGAATATCCTTATTTCAAGGGGCTTGAACTCGGTATTCTTTGTCTTGTTAATGTATTATCTGCAAACCAGTGAGACTTGCCTATAAAACAAATCTCCCAGAATTTTTCCATTACTATCAAATTTAAAATATTCTAAAAGTAAACATAATTAAAATGAATTAGAAGTGGGAAATGCCTGGTAATAGCTTATAGAGAACATTCTCAGTTCACTGTTTATTTAACATGATAGAATCTAGAGGTCAATAGTCTGAAACACTTTTGCTGGCAACAAGACAAAAGCATAAAACTTAATTTTCAATCCCCAATTAGCCTCTTGAGCAATCATGGTTGCAAAATAATTGCAAAGACTATACCTACTTAATTCTTGAAAAGTTGTTTAATCCTACAGAGTCCTGTTCAATCCCATTTATAAGAAATGCCATAACTTTAACTTCTTACAAAGGCAAAACAGAACCTGATATCACTAAACCTGTGAGCTTTTATAATTAATATACAAATGAGACTCCATTTTAGTAGTTTGATTGATGGGTGAACAATTCAAAACATAAGCAAGGCTAAATTAAAGCTGTAGAAGAAAGCACTATCTTACATTAGTGATAATTTTTTTTTCAAAGCTGATATAAATATATAAATTGATTTTAAAGGCAGCTCGTTAGAATTATTAAACCTGCAACTAGAGGAATTAATTTAATTTCCCTACTGGTTCTGAAAAAAAGTCAAAGTAGGAAACATTAGGTTGCTGTTTATCATCAGCCAACTTCATTGTTTAAACACCTTTTGCCAATTTAGTCTGAGCAAATTACAGATTTACAACTTTGTGCATCTGAATTTTTAATTACATTTGAATCACAGTGAGAACATGAATCAAGTGTAAAGAAAATACTGTGAAAATTGCACATTCCTAAAACACTTTGAATGCTATTCTAGACCCACTTGCACAGAAGCACTCTTGAATTCCAATGACTTCATTTACAGATAAGCTTACAGAGAGGACTGCAAGCTTAACATTAACATTTTATTGGATTCATGTGGGACCTAGTTCTGAATAAATATATGAGAGTTTGGAATCAAATTGTAAACTTTGGATCCTTTTATTGTGTTTAATTCTGAACTGAGAGGTAATTTTGCACATGACCTGAATTAGTTGTAAATGGTCATTACATTAGTTTTTTGTTCAGAGTGATCTGATGTGCCTTGGGCAACAATCAAATCACCAAACATACTGTGGTGATTCATCCCCTAATTTACAAATTGGAATAATTAAAGAAATCAGCAATAGGAAGAGTAGGTGGAAACATCACCTACCTCAACAGCTGAAGCTTACCTTTCTGCAGATAAGAGGAGAGCTTGCTATTGCTATTTCTATGCTTGGATTCTTGCTCCCAAGTTAGATTTGTGTCTGGAGTAGCCAAGGTTACCATCAACAGCTACTTACTCTTTCTAGCTAGTTTCCTCTTTTTTGGGGGTTGGGACTTTTGCCTTCATAGGAATAATTTTTGTAAGAGAAGAAGACAACAAGAACTATTCTTCCTGGATATTGTCATCAGCAGAGGAAACTATGGCAGGCAACAACCCCAAATACAGTATATTGAAAAATAGTGCATTGTAACCAAGTGTTTCACTACCGAAACAACACAAAAAGAGCTGCATAAGAACATTATTCGGTCAAGCAAAAACACACTGCAGTACTCCAAAGAAAGCAGACTATTTATATACAACCTTTTCTGATGCAATGGATTCTGAGGCAACTTTATTTAAAAGGGCCTAGCACACAACCTATGAAAAGGATAACTTTCCCATATATCAAAAGCATCTCCGAGATAACCAATGGACTATTAAAAAGTTTTTGTACTGGTCACTGTAGCAGACAAATCAATGAAATTCCTCCCTCCTCCCCCCCCAAAAAAAGGAACTTAAGCAAACTGAAAGATCTAGTTAGCAGAAAAGAATCAAAAGAAATCATCTACCATAACAGTATAAGGACTATAATAGCCACTACACAGGACAAACGGATAGAACACTGGCCAGCAAGCAAATTGTTTACTGAATAAATCTCCAGACAATTTCTGGGTAATATACTCATACATTTCAAAACAGAAGATTATTAAATGTTCCAAAACTAATAAATTACAAAATAAATAGGTCTAAAATATTTTAACCTATGACTTAATTCTTTAAAATAGTTAACTAAATAGTATAAAAACTTGCTCCAAATCAAATTCTTAGAACATACAGGAATTATGTAATTTGTCATGTTGGGGAGATTCACTTTTCCCTTTAACCTGGCTGCCCTAACTGCAAAGAAAGCAATCTGTTGTGTCACAATCAAGTTGGTATCTTTAAGAGGAAATTCAATGTACCTTTAACATTCCAATTCCTCATATCATCAAGGAACAAAAATAATTAATGATCCCTATACTTAGCTTACAACCAGCATTCTAATGTATAATGTGGCAGGTGTTCTATTTCATCTGGTTTGCAAATGCAGAGTCTATCTTGCAATGGGATAACTGTGAATCTGCCTTTTTGTATCATTGTACACATTTGCTCAAATCAGACATAAGTAAAGGTTATATGATCATCACTTTTTATTGAAAGGACTAATACTTTTCTTCTTGAAATTGGGATTTAATTCTTGTGAAGTCCTTGGTGCTCTCTGAGCTTGGTTGTTTTCTTGCAGATGTTTCAATACCCAGGTACCCATTA